GTATGTAAAAGAAATATTAAATTTGATATTATGCCGTCCTTGTACATTGGTGATTAGTCTCTTAAATTTGTTTCTAAAGTGACTAATCTTGTTTTTGTTATAAACACTAACCTAACATGCACTGATCATGTTTACTCTGTCGTAGGCAAAGTCTATTATACTTTAAGAAATTTAAGAATGTCTGCAACTTTTACACCATTAATCGTTAGACGTAAACTGGCCATTCAATTAATATTGCCAATTATCTGCTATTCTGAGCTAGTCTACAGCAGCCTAGATTTTTAATCTTCCCATAAAATTGATGTAGTATTCAATCATGTTACTCGATATGTTTTTGGGCTATCGAAATTTGAGCGAATATCCTAGTGGAAATCACGACTGTTGGGCTGCAGTATCTCTGAATACCTAAAAGCAAGAAATTGTATTTTTTTATTTCGCCTAATGGATGGATCCTAGATATCTATACGAAAAATTATCCTTCTCAAAGTCTGCACGCCTTACGGACCTGATTATACCTAAGTACAATTATCTAGCATCTGCAAGACTATTTTTCGTCAATGCTATTCGCACCTGGAACTCGGTTCCAGGACATATTCGCAACAGTCTAAATAAAGAGTGTTTTGTACTCGTATTTTCGTTAACTTATTAACTCATTATCAGCTGAGGTTCGCTATCTATATAAATTGCAAATGTGTATGTTTTTAGATAAAGGCTAATTAAAAATAATATGTCGTTCTTTTTCTTTTTAATTTTTATTTATTTTTTTTTTATATTTATTTTTTATTTTATCTTCCTCTCTTGGTTTTATATAGATTTGTAAGTTTTGCCTAATGCTATTTGTCAGGCTTTGTTTGACATGATGTACTATGCACTTTTTATTCTCAACTCTTGTCTTAATTTCAAGTTACCGTTGTACTAAAAAAGATCTTTGGGATCTTATTGTACTAATTTTCTTTATAATAATAAATGAAATGAAATGAAAATTATCGATATGTAGGTTAGGTTAGGTTGAAGTGGCTACCAGTGACCCCACTAGCACACATAGGCCCTTGGTTGTGGGCCCGTTGTGATACCACGCGGATCGTTAGAACCCTCCTACTCAAACCATCGTGTGGATTTCGCGAAACCCAGAAGTTGCCGTATGCGTACTTCGGCTATGTCGGTTAGGTCCTCAAAGAATCCTGAACCCATAAACTTTTGTCTTCTTCTACAAAGTGCGGGGCAATCGCATAACAGGTGCCGCAATGTTTCTGGCTCTTCTTCATTTCTGCAGCTTCTGCAGAAATCGTTATGGGGGATCCCTAACCTCTCCGCCAAAAGCAACATGACCTGTTAGCAGACCCACAGCTGCGGCTAGGTCCCCTCTGCTCAGCATGAGGAGATCCTTCGACCGCTTTTTGTCCCATTTTGGCCATGTAAGCCTCGTCTTGTTGCAAGTGGTGAGGCTATCCCACCTGGCCCTTGCTAGTTTAAGAGACAGATCCCTTAGAATGAGCTTGCAGGTAGCGAGCGGCATGCCTAATCCCTTCCAGGCCCGCGAAAGTGGAACGGATGTGCCCTCTCTTGCAAGCTCGTCCGCCTTTCATTGCCTGGTATGTTCCGGTGCTCCGGAACCCATACCAAGTGAAGCGCAGACTGCTCAGCCATCTCCTTTAGGGATCTGCGAC